GGGGGGGGGGGGGGCGGATATAGTACATGAAAGACTTGACTTATGAGATTACACTACAAAGTTCCTGTAAGAGCTCGTCCATCCCTCGCGAGACCCAATTAAAGCCCGTAAACAAGCACACAAGGTCACAATGATAGCCTCAACGAAATTCCATAAAAAGAGTGACTCCAGTTTTCGCCTCCGAATTGCTCGACTCCTGCCGATGTCACGTGGCTCGAGCATGTTGGGCTGTCAAAGACACGCCAGGAATTTATAGAGGTTCTAAACATCCCCAAAATGAGCTTCCCTAAACCCTAAACTTCTACAGGGTTCTACACCAGTCCTTTGAGGCTTTAGAGCGGTCCTAGATGGGCTGGTTTCATGGTTGTCAGGGTACCCAAACCCCCCAAGACGCCAGGCCCGCCACCCCAAACTGAAGGTGTTTACATCTTAGCCACTCACTCACCCATTGCAGAACCCTGACCCATAAAACAATATCTCCCCCCCAAACCCCAATCAAACTCCACCACGTCTCCAAGCAGCGCCCGAGCAGCCTGCTCGTCCGAGAGCAGCGAAGAGGCTTATACATATCACTAAACCCCTCATTTAACATGATTATGGTTAGTACTGTCTCTTAATATTTATAGAGCATATGGCTGCTACTAGTAGGCTTTTTGCTATACTCTAGACCATCCTCAGACCTCTCTCTACCCCAAACTCCTAAATCCCGTAGCCCGGACACCCCCCGTTGCTTGGGCCATGGAAGAGGGATCTCGACGCTCACTGGCCAACGATCTGGAGGTGGCGGTGGAGGTGGGGATAGTCTTGCCTGGAGGTGCCGGAAAGCTTTCTTTTTTTTTTCGGGGTTTCTCGTGGTTGTCCAGCTTCTTGAAGGGGTTTGTAGGGTTCAGTGGTCTGCGGCTTCTTGGAATTCGCGTGCCTCTTAAGGGGTCTGAGATGTGTCTATTTCAGGTGGATGCTCATGGCGAATGGCAGGCAGGGGCTCAAATGAAATGCTGCAGTGTGATAGTTATTGATAGTAACCTTACAGTATCATATACTATAGCATTATAGTATATCAACATATATGAATATACCAATATGGTGACAGTTTATTGCGACGTACTACCACAGCATACTGTGACTTATTTGGTTTTGACAGGGCCTTAGACTAGCATGTTGTTGTGAGGCTTCTCGAGGCTTCTAGGAATTGGGCCTTTTGTAATACCCCTCATATCATCAGGCCTATGGATACACGTTTATTTTGCGGCCCCCTATTTTTACGAACTTCCTAGTATGTCTGAAGGTTGAGTTTCAGGGCTGCGCATCTCCGTCGAGTAGCCCCGGACTTCGTAGGAAAGCTCGGTTGCTAAACCCTGGACCCTACGCTCCAAAACCCAGCGCTCTGCTGTTCTAGTTAAACTTCCTTCCTCGGCAACATCACCCTAAACCCTAAACCCTCAACCCTAAACCCTAAACCCCCAATGAGAGCACTAAAAACCCTAAACCCTAAACCCTCAATGAGAGCACTAAAAACCCTCAACCCTAAACCCTCAAACCCGTAGTCCTCGGCCCAGGTGGTCTATCCCAAAGGGATCTGCCAGCTGCCAGAAGCCTGCGATCGCTTTCAGATTCTGGGCTCTTGCTAAGGGATTTATTTTAAGTTACCATAATTTAAGTTGCCATAATAAAGAAACCCTATAATTTGCTATAGATCATCAATTTAATTTAAGTTGCCATAATAAAGAAACGCTATTATTTACTGTAGATCCCCATTATGGTAACTTGATTGAAATTCCCTAAACCCTAAACCCTACACCCTAAACCTTAACCGTTGAATACATCCCCTAACAAGAACCCAGGATTCGCCTGAGGGAGGTCCCTGCGGTTGCTGTCACGGCGGGCAACGTCGGAGGGCCCAAAGAGTGCAAGGTCTCTGACCTGGAGGCTGGATGTGTGCGTATGTGGGGTTTAGGGTTTAGGGTTTAGGTGTGTGCTGTTTTTTTGTTGGTTTTTAGTTCTTTTTGAATTTTTGTGTGTTCTAGGACCCTATAAGAGCTAGCAGGGAGGTATAAGGCCGTAAGACCTACGGTCCTAAGGTAGATGGTAGGAAGTAGGAGGTCTTGGACGTTTCCCCCCGAAGAGCACTGCGCGTGGAGGAGTTCCATGCAGCTGCACAGACCTGGCTGGAAGAGGAGAGAAGGGCCGTCGAGCAGGAAGAGGAGCAGGGAAGAAGAAGGAGGCAGCTGCAGCAGAAGAAGCTCCTGAGCAGTAGAGTAAGGTAGCCGGGTAGCCTGTAACTTTTTTTGGGGGACGGTCCAAAGGCGACGTTGAGTCCTCACAGACTATTGGACAAGTAAGGTTTGATTGGCTCTTCTTGCAGCAGACGCCTCGGCTCATGGCCCGCGTCTACAGGGTGGAGAGGCTTTCATGGTATCTGCCCTTGCTGGTGCCTCTTTATGGAGGTATGGTTGCGATCAACTACCGGGTGGTCCCGTATGGCACTGTGGAGGAGTCCTCAAGCCATGTGCCATAAGGCCTGAATCCCATCCCGAGTCCCCCATAAACCCTAAACCCTAAACCCTATGCCCTAAACCCTAAGCCTAAACCCCAAACCCTAAGCCCTAAGCCCAAACCCCCAAACCCTAAACCACAAAGTCTAAGCCCAAACCCCCAAACCCTAAGCCCAACCCCCCAAAACCCTAAACCTTAAGCCCTAAGCCGCAGGAGTCGGACTGGACCGTTTCGCTTCTGGTGATGGTCGGCATGGGCGTTTGCTTCTTCTGCGTCCCTTGGGTCGTTCCGCAGATCATCAGAAGCGATCGCTGTTTGGTTGCGACTTCCGGCATCTGGGCCAAACCTTAAAAAGATTCTAAAAACCCGTGCAAGCCCATATAAAACCCGAACCGCTTAAACCCAAACCAAGCCCCATTCCCCTAAACCCTAAACCCTCAAAACGAGCCCAGTTTTCTCCGGCCTCCTCATCTTCCTCGTGGCCCTCCCCTTGGAGCTGCTGCGCCTCGTCTACCCTGTGGCCTTCTCCCCTTTCGCTGGCCTGCTGATACAGGCAGGGTCTTAGGGCTTAGTGTTTAGGGGGAAAATCTCGGGGCTTTAACAAACTTTAAAAACAGGAAGATCGTTCCCAGAATCCGTAACCGCAACGAATATCCTTTACGGTAGAAGGATCTTGAACCTGCTTGGTTTAGGATTCATGGTTAGGGTGTGCTAGGTGCAGGATGTTGTGATGGTCGGGTCGCATCGTCGAGGCCTGGGATGTAGGTCGGCTTTTCAGAACGGCCATGCAGCAGCGTCTCAATCCTCAACGCCCAAGCATTGGTAGTCTCAAAACTTGCAGTCCTATACCACTTGCAGTCCTATACCCCCCAAACCTGACAGCCCAAAGACGCCTTGAACACCAAATCCCAAGCCCTAACCCCTAAACCCTAAACCCTAAACCCCGCAAGCCCTAAACCCTAAACCTTAAATCCCGGTCCATTAAGTGTAGCAACATCGTTTTGACACTTCCGGTCGCCAGGGAATGAGCACCGACATGCCAAGCGAGCTTGAGGCCTGGACCATGGGGGGCTTAGGGTTTAGGGTTTAGGGTTCAGCGTTTAGGGTTTAGGGTTAGGATGAGCCACTGGGAGATTCGTTGAATTTTCATGTTTTGGGCTCCCGGATAACTACGGTTGATGATATAAATCTTGCATGACCCAGAATAAGGAATTTATAGCCTAATTCCCATAGTTTAGGGTTGTTGGGGTAATGCAGGGTTTATATTATCCACAGTAGTGTTGCGATCAGGGCTTTATGATTGCTTTCGGAAGTGGCAACATTGAGCCTGAGGATGGCATAAAAACCCCTCAACCCTAAACCCTAAACCCCTAAACTGTAAGCTCTACAAACTCGTTCTCTCCTTCATCCTGTGTAAAAGCCCCTGAAGCCCTAAACCTCAAAGCTCCGAGCCTCAAGCTCTGAACCAAAACCCTGCAGCGGCCCAAACCGCAACCCCAGCCCCAAAGCCTACGCCCCCAAAGCCCTAAACCTTTCTAAGCCCCAGCAGCAAACACGCTGCGGAACGCTTCAAGGACCTCGTCTTCGAGTGCCCTGATAGAGCATTTGTAGAAAGCCCCCAACACCTAAACCCTAAAACCGTAGACGCTGAACCCCGAATCCCCTCAGCCCCGAAACAACGATGAGGTTTAGGGTTCAGGGTTTGGGGTTTAGGGTTGAGGGTTTAAAGTTTAGGGTTTAAAGTTTAGGGTTTAGGGTTTAGGGTTGAGCCAGACCACCAAACCCTCTGTTCCAGGCACAGACGGCGGAAATCCAGAGCCGCACGAAGGAGCAGACCATCGTCTTCGAGGGCACCGTAAGCCCAGAGCTCCTTGGCTGAAGGTAAGCTCCGTCCTTTTGATTCTCCAGGGTTTAGGGTTTAGGGTTTATGGTGCTCTCATTAAGACTAGTATTCGTTTAGTGGTTTTTTATGTGTTAGCACTAGTGTTCGTACTGGTGCATTGTTGGTAGTATTCTTCTTCTTCTTGTGATTCCTCTTGTGCTTCTTCGTCTTCTTATTATTATCATCATCATCATCATCAGTATCGTTGTTTTATTCTTTTGGGTGAGGCTTTTTCTGGCCAGCGGGGAAGGAGAGGCCGTGACTTTAGAGATTTGTCTTAGGCGTTTCAGGGTTTCCACGCACTTTGCGTAGCTCAGGAGAGTCATAGAGGTGTTTGCTCTGTTCCACCGTTCCAGGCAGGGGACGGGGATAGCTGTGTTCCAACTTTCTGGCTTGTAGTCGCACCTAGACCCTAAACCCTAAATCCTAATGGAGGTTTGGAAAATCTGGGATCTTGCAGCGACTTTGCACTGAGGCGCGGCAAAGCCTGCGTGGTGTCCTGGCCCGGAAAATATGCCACGGCTTGGGATCATTTGGTGCAGAGCGCTCGTGGTGGACAGACAAGTGCAGCGGTCTTAGTGCCCTTCTTTATGGTTTTATACAGGAGAGCTACGCCAGCCAGTAGGCCTTAAAATATGCATTGTCGGGGTACCTTGTAACTATCCCTTATCCCTACAAAAGCACGAAGGCAGCGGTGGTGTTCTTGCCCGAAGGCACTCCTCACTACGGGCAGCACATCCGCATACCCGGGAGCGAGAGGCTGGAGGGAGAGTGCTGGTGCACGCCACTCTACGGTGAGAAGAGAGACTGGGGTTGCCTCTGGTGGGCCCTCTGGATCGAGAATCAAGGCTGCCCAGTCGTATTTTCCTGTACCCTAAACCCCAAACCCTAAACCCCAAAAGAAGACCAGGAAGAAGGGCACTCTTACCCTGAATGACTTCTTTGGGAAACCTAGGAATGTGGAGAGCGCCGTCCGCTATGGAGCTGCTGGGTTCTTGTTAAGGGCCTCAATAGTTACCATGATGGGCATCTATAGTAAATGATTATGGTTTCTTTATTGTGGCAGCTTAAATTACACTGGGGATCTACAGTAAATAATATGGTTGCTTTATGATGGCAACTAAAATTAAACTGGCGATCTACAGTAAATACTATGGTTTCTCTATTATGGCAACTTAAATTAAATTGGGGATCTATAGTAAATAATTATGGTTTCTTTGTTATGGCAACTTAAAATAAAAACCCTAAGCCCTAAACCCTAACTTAAATTAAACCGCTTAACAAGAACCCAGGCTGAGCTCCACGTCTACTTCTTCGAGGGCGCCCGCGGCAAGGGCAAAGTTGCAAGCTTCGCCTCGGCCGGCTCGGAATATCTGAAACGGGAAGCCTTGTGGAAGGAGCCTGAATCCATTACCCTGAGCCCCAAACCTCAGAAGACCTTATATTTGGGTTTAGGGTTTAGGGTGTAGGGTTTAGGGTTTAGGCCTCATAAACAGCCCAAAAAGAGCCACGAAGTCTGGTGGAAGGAGTTCCAGGACTCCGAGACGTTGAAGGATGCAAAGGCTGCAGGGCTCGAGAACCTCTGCGACAAGAAGCGGTATGACTCATCTTCCAAGTACAGCCGAGAGGAGCGTCGCCTCTTCTTGCAGTGGCTCTCTTTTGAAGATCGGAAGCTGCTGGAGGAGGGCCTCGGCAACTCGCAGAAAGCCGAGGTAGCCTGGCTTGAGAGGAAGGGCTACAGATACACAGAGGTGGACATCGCAAGCTGGCTAAGGCCGGCTGCCAAGTCATATTTCCCCTCTGGGCCTCTGCCAGCAATGGAAGCTTGGAAGATCCATCCGCAATAAACGGCTCGTTGCTGGGATCGACCCACGCTTCTGAACCATTAGCCTCCGAAGGGTACCTTCACCTGCTACGCTTGATGCTAGACCTCCCGTGGGGCCGGACGACAGAACTCCCCAAAATTCCTAGAAGTTTTGGGTCCTTGGGATCATGCTACCCTAAACCCTAAACTCTAAACCCTAAGCCCCATAAGCCCTAAGCAACTCGGAGACTCCAAAGCCCTCAAAAACACATGGAGGCGGGTCCTTAAGGTGACTCTGGGCGGTTTTGTTCTTTCCTTCGAAGGGTCTTTGGTAGGGGGGGGGTCGCTTTTCGGAGGTTTTTCGTAAGAGTGCCCTGTCCTGTCGAACGCTTGCAAACTGCCTGCTTCGGCAAACTCGAAGGCTTTACCCCGAAATACAGTCACTTCTAGTACCAAGCAGACCTGGCTTTTTCCAAATGTCCCAACACTGCCGGTCCCCGATCTGGCGAAACGTTCCGGGGATGAAGGGATCAATGGCTCGGGTGGTTTTGTGGAGCCCAGGTCACCTCTCAAGCTGAGAGCTTCCTTGCAGCCCTCGACCCAAAGCCAGAAACTCCAAACCCACCAGCTATGAAGCCCTTCACTCTCGACCCAAGGCCTAAACCACCTCGAAGCCCCCCCAATGACCCCCCCAAAAGTTCGGAACCCCCCCTTTACCTTCCATACCCTGAACAGCCACGAACCCCAGAACCCTAAGCCAAACCCTTAGCCGCCTAAACCCCTAAACCCCTAAACCCTGAAGCCCCTAAACCCCTAAGCCCCTAAGCCCCTGAACCCCAAGCCCTAAACCCTAAGCCCGAAGCCCTCGGGCCCTAAACCCTAAACCCCTGCAGCCCCTAAACCCTAAACCCCTGCAGCCCCTAAACCCTAAATCCTACACCCGCCAAGCTCCCCTGCACTCGAAACCGCCACGCCTCCAAAGCCCCGCCCAAAGGTCTGCGAGTTGGCGAAGACTCTCCAGGCGGCTGTGGTAGTCGTCGTGGTAAGAACGAGGCTTTAGGGTTTAGGTTTAGGTT